TCTGGCTTCAGATTTGTACATACATAGTAGTGTAGTGATTGGATTCTGAGTGTGGAAGGATATATCTCATTATTTCCGTGAATATGTGGCCTTTTACATCTCTAGGTTATGAGGAACGAGGGGATCAAAGCTCAAACGAAGAACGAATTAACTATGATGATGAAGAAAGTCGACAAGGTGGTTTTTATACCGGTGTACTACATGTCGTGATGTAAGCATACTCGCTAACGAACGTGTCAGATGTACAACTCTTTCAAAATGGTTGTCTTTTCCTCTCCATTTTCTCATCACCCGCCAAGTGTCACGTTTTGATCCAATAGATAAACCGGGATATACTCAATTGTATGAACAGTGTTGCAGATTCTCACGGTTTCAATCGATGTTAAATTGCGTATATTTGCATATACATGTGTATATATATTATTCTATTATTATTTTGTTTTATTTCTATTGATTCTATTATTACAATATAATCAGTACAGAGTACAGATGTTCGAGTACAGGGAACAGCTGATCAGTCTTGGATTCATTATATTCCACATTTATTACAAACTGCGAATCGTCGAAAATCAAACTCCGCGAGCGCTACCGCTCACTAACACAGACTAATACAGCAAGTCTGTGCGTGCTATGTTTCCACATACAAGACGGTTTAGTTAGATTGTCATACATTGAACCCACACATATGAGAAACTCGGCTTGATTGTGACTTTATAATCATGAAGATATGGATGAAGGTCTAACGAACATCAAGATTAACGTCTGTTGTGTCTCCATGCACAGGATGGGAACGGTGGAGTGTCATACAACGAATTCCGCGAGTACTTTATGTTCACACCGCTCACCAACACAAATGAGATACTCAAGTTCTGGCAACGACCCGCTCTAGTTGGGGATGATGGGCGCATGAAGGAGATCGTCGTTCCACTTAATTCCTCTGCCGCGGGGAGTGCAACCAGTCTGGTATATATTTATTTTGCACATACACACACACACACACACACAC